AGGTTGGTGGGGTGCGTCAGTGAACTAATTCGGAGCACTTCAGTCACATGTCCACTAGATGCGGTGTTGTGGATGGTGTGGCGCATTGCACCTTGCTACCACTAGTTCGTTTTACGTTCTGTTGTGCACCAGACTGGAGAGGAGTCGTACACCAAAATGACAACTCCTGATCGCAACTAGAGTTTTGTGTCTCTTGCCATGCCTGTTACTTGAGTTCGACCTACCTCGATCACACTGGCTTCCGTTTCATTCCCTACTAAATGTCGTGCATGATGAAGTCACCTTTTTTTCCGGTTAGGCGGATCATCTAAAATGAATTCACTAGAAATAACCGACTAACGTTGAAGCTGAAGTACGGCAAATTACCTTTTTCACTGTTTTGCAGAAGCCTTAGTATTCAACGCAGCCTTAAAAAAAATACTTGTGTTTCTTTATTCGATGTTTGTTGCCTTCAAATGGCTCGTAAAAAAATAAGTTTTTTTGACCCTAATAAACTTTGAATACCTTTTAGTTGTCTAAGTGCATCAGGAACTCCAAGTGCTTCAAGTGTTTTCCATTTGCCGTCATTCCAGTCAGTGGATTCCGGAATATTGTTTTCAGTATGATGCAGACGCTATTGCGTCATGCCTTAAAAATTTCCCCTAAATTGCAGTCATTTGTTAAACCAGATTCCAATTTTTAAATCAATGACTGTTTGGGACCTTACTTTGAACGCTGTAATATTTTTTTGATTTAATTTTCACGGGGATTACTTATTTTCGGTGGCAGATACTATCAAATAGTGAGAGGACCAGAGATGTCAAGCATTGGCTGGACAATGTTAGAATAGTATTTTAATGCGGCACTGTCGAGAGCTGAATGAGGCAACTTTGACATCTTGTCTGATAAAAAAGTGGAAAAGGGAAAGAGATCTTTGCTCCACAATGATGGATGAACTTCTGATTCCTGCACTTCCAAGTCCATTGAGATTTGGTTTGGGTTACTACTTCTACTGCAAAAACTCTCTAGCTACATTTTCTGGGGCCTAGCCACATTGATGCCTAGTTGTAGACCTAAGTCTGGCGAACACGAGTACTTCAATAGAGGGGTCCAGGTATATTCTGGGGCTGAAATCAGCACGGAAGTTTAAAAGTCATAGAAACGCAAGAGGGTCAAGAAAGTGCGAAATAACTTTTCCAATTTACGTGGTGTTCAAAAGCACCTATTTCGTAAGATCCCACTAGTGGGCCCGCCAGAAACTTCTGCGGCACAGTGTACGCACAATCAGGCCCTAGCTACCTAACTGAGTAAATATAACACGCCAACTTATTATAGAGCAGCACATGGTGGCACACTTAGTTTATGCAAAATTTGAATTACTTGTAAGTGTACCTACGAGTTCAATACAAAGCTAGGCGGCAACAAAAAGGCGAGTAATTGTATTCTTGTCCACGAGGCAGGGAGCGGTTGGCCTGTGTGTGGGTGGAAAACACAGGCCCCTTCCCCTTCAAACACCCCACTTGTGGGACACCTGTTCGCACAGACTGTCACCGCACACGTTAACCTCAAGGTGACAGCACCCACGAAATGTGTCCACACGCGGGTGGGTTTGTATTGGGTCGCAAAAGCCGAGACCAAAGGCACACACACCTTCCGGCTCGCGCATGCCGACCTGCTGAGCTGACGGGGGTGGGCAGTCGGGTTGGTGGTGAGGCTCGAGTGTGGTGGCTGTGGGTGCGTTCGTGTGCGCGTGGGTGTGTGTCTGCGCACTCAGTTAAAGCTGTGTGAAGGCATCACACATCGGTGAAAAACGATACATAGATTGCCCGGATTCTTTTTCACTTTGTCGATAAAGTCGTGATTTGGATGATTAATCAGCTCTGTGTCTCAAGGAACGTTGGAATAGGATCCTCCAAGAATCGAATGCTAACTCCAACTGTCATGTCTATACACCCAATGGCAGAATGTTAACCTACTAGTTTTGCTGGACGTTCATGATTTATAAATGTAATTGTCTATATTATTTAAAAAGATTGTCTACAAAAGACTCAAAAATACTGCTGAATTTCAACTCTCTTAATGTAAGGCATATTTGAGAATTAAGCATGTAGGAGTTTAAGCTCTCAGACTTTAGGCTTCTACTGATTACCAGTCCAAAGAGCTACCTTCAGACCGAGTCTGCATGCTACAAGGTACACCAAAACGTGGAAGATATATCCTTACATTTCCTGCGAGACCTCATTTAATATGACGATGAAAATAACACCACTTGCACTTTGTTAAGTGCTGTAGTGTTTCCATCTTGCCTCTTTATACAGATATTTCCCACACCCCACAGTTTGCAGAGAACTGGTTTAATAATAACCGAGATCAAAGCGGCACGCACCCAATAAATTTGTCTTTAAACATGGGTGAGATGCCCCAGCGCCCTTGAGGACGAATAGCGACTCGCATAAATGCACTTCGTCTGCTCACAACCCCCGTGGATGTTTTCCTCAAGTTAAGAGCCAAAAGATTCGGTCAGGTATTTTTGGAGTGCAATTACCTAGAGGCTACGAATGCGAAATGTTGCAGGAGGTTTAAGCACTAAAGTTTGCTTCTGCGCCTTATTGTGTGTCGTTTATTTACGCTTCTGAATCCATAAATGGTATTAAGGAAATATAAAATTGCTAGAAGAGCTTCCGACTGATCCAATCAGTGCAGCTTTGAAGTGAGTCTGTCTTCTTAATCTCAAAGATTCCCACGAATTACATCACTGGGTGAGTAGCCTCACGGCTTACTGGTGCTAAGTGCCCAGTTCCTTCCCTTCAAACATCATAATTGCATAAATAGTTGGGAAAATTAGCCTAAAGTAGCGAGGACTAGGATAGATCGTGGTCATCCAATGATGCTTGAATGAGAGTTGGTGATAGTTCTGGAGGCCAACGTCGCAAGAAATGGCGTCTCGTGGATCAAAGAGCAGAGAATTTTGCAAGCCATGAAATCACTCAGGAATGTGGACTTCTACCTGTTATTAATGACTGCTGAATAGCTTACTGATTTAGATGTTACAATGTCTCCGGAGAATTGCAGAAATCTCTTCATACTTTTCCAGGTTCCTCTAAAGTGGTTTACAAGGCATTGCTTCGTTTTAAATATGACTTTGTATTTTAAAATAAATTCCAGGTTTTTAAACGTAAAAAGTGTGCATATTCATGAGTTGAAAAAACTTTTAACTGCGAGATCACCTTTTATATTTTGTCCCCGGAACTTCTCATACTAATTAAGTCAAATTCTTAAAAAAAGTCGCCATCAAGCATTTATCTAATTGACAATTCTTAGCTTGTTGGTGGTTCGCAAGAACTGAAAGTTGCTACGGATTAGCCTTTTTTGGAAAAATTGAGGCGACGCCACACGACCGTCTTCGTGCTGGTGATCGTCGTAGTGCAGTCTGCAGTGAGACTCATTACCAATGATGCCGACGCACTTGCTACTCCACGGCATCGCGCACGAAGTCGTCTATGGATGCAAGATTGTCAAGCTTAAACGTTGCATTTCACAAAGGCGTCTACATAGGAAGTCTCTAGGCTGGGAATGAGCTATTTTCGCAGACGCTGATCGCACTTCTCTCTGCAGGTGGCCGTCTACCCCGTGTCAATGGGCTGTAGGTGTTGACCTTTCAGCACGAACACCTTTCAGGAAAAACCCGCACTTTTTTCCCAAAAAGGGGTGCTTTTCCGTAGTTCTTGCACTTGCCACTGCGAAGCGAAAAACGAGACACAGATGCTAATTTCGACAAAAACTGTTAGTTTTCTTGCAGAAAGTTTTTACTATGATGTTTCAGTTGTTCAAAAAAGTGGAAAAAATTATCTGCTTTAACGTGGCTCAAGATCATGCGGATTCTGGCTTGGGAAGTGCTAAAAGTGGCTTGGTAGAATTTTTCCATTCGACGCATCTGCAGTTTGTCAATTGAAGTAAAGTAATTTGGCGAAAGTAGGTCGAAATTTCTTTTTGCTTCTACATTGGACCTATTATTTGTTGGATCGGTAGTCAGCACTCCATGAACCACAGAATTCGCACATTAAGCATCTGCGCGGCCTACAAAGCCAAATATGAAATTATTCAATATTTTTTTATAATTAATTAGGGGAAAAACTGTATGAAAAATAGCCGACGATTTGCAGAATTCGCGGTTTTCCATGAGGGCAAAATATTTTTTGACAGTTTTGTTTTGACTTAAGTTAGTACGCAATTGAATGACCGGTTGGCAACGAAATGTTAGCAGGCCATGCCATGGGAAAACTAGACGAAAGTACGCTTTGCAAGCAGGATAAAAAAATAATCCGTGAAAAAGTGAAATTATTCACTTGGACTAAGGTCACATTGAATCTTTTAAATCGTCCCTCAAGCAGCGCAGTGCAAACATGACGATTGTACTTCCCAACAAGTGTGAACATCCGCCCACACAGAAGTGTTGGCTGGCGATAACTGCCCACTCGCCTTAGACTTGGGGCAACCCACTTGGCTACGATCGCAATTTATAAGTGGCCAGACATCTCTTGATTCTTACAACAAGTGGCCAGGGAAATTGCCAGAACACACTTTCGCCCAGACTCAAGTGATCCATTCGTGTTTCCGAAAGCGCACTCTCCATCCAGCCTCACCACACACACTCTCGCCACACCGTATGTCAGCTCACGTTCCAATCATCATTTGTACACTGCAAGTTGTAGACTGACACTTGTGAGTCAAATTCGCAAGTAAAGGGAACGTTAGAGGAAGGCATGTTGAGTCTGCACTCACTAGCAGTGTAGTGTTAGAGCAGCAGGACGATCTAACTGCTCACAATTTGGAGGCGCGATTTCTAGGAACTAAAATCTGCCCTATTTTGTGGTGGTTGGCTCTAAGCTTTCTTGGTACAAGATCCTGAAGTGTTTTAATGAATAAATTTTTTGTCTAAAGAGTGTTTTGATTAAGCTAAACTGGTTAGGCGTGCCCACACACTCAACGAAAACACTTGTGCCGTCCAAACAAACTTCATCCTATTCGATGCCTACGTTGCTTTCCAAAACACGATTTTTATGCTGCTGCTGCTGCTCATGAACATTGCGGGACTGATTTACCCTATCGCCGTTGATGCGAAATCTACATATCACATTCAGCTGGCACCCTTCTCGCATGACAATGGGGTATTGGTGCCAAGACCTGGGTTTATCAACGCCCTCTTTTCGTCCTCCACCATACACGAGGCTCGATATCTCAATTTCCTCCACGCGCTCTCTTTCTGCCACCTCATTGCGAGGCTCTAAACAAAGCACAACCAGTTGGGTTCATAGGCCGGTAGTGGAAAAGGTTCAGTGTGTCTTAACACACCTAACCTACCATTACGCCGGTTTAATCAGGATTCTTCTAGAGGGCATGGAGTTCCGTGTATCTTTTGTTCTTATACATGCAGTATTGAAATTATTTGGACGTTCGTATAGTCTTTAAGTGTCTTTTCAACCGGGAACCTGACATCGAAATGTTTTGTTTCAAACCTCTCGGGACTGGGATTTTATTTGTTTATTGTGCCACCATAGAGGCAGCAGCTTAATATGTTTTCATAGGAAATTTCACGAACATAAGCTTAAGCAGTTTTATTGGCCCCATTTCACGCATAAAAAACCCAGATCTGCCCACCACAGACAACTGCATCCTGAAATCTGGCACTCAATACTGGATCAAATTAGCTGAAATAAAGGCATTCAAAACAAATACTAGATGGGATTTTCTCATGATGACAACAAACACGACACATTCCGCACTAGTTAGGCCAGAGTAGTGGATTCTGTAAAACGGTAGTTAAACCAGCGGAATGCATTAAGTCCTCATTACCTGACCTATTATCAAATAAACTATGTTCGTGTAAAACTGAAAACGATATGCTCCCTGCATACTTTGGCATATGACGTACTTATACCCCAACGCATGTAGGCTGCTTTACATACAATATAATATGTCAAATTAACCGTGCATTTGTAATCCAATAGAGCAATTTCGCTGTCAACATCACTAATGCACTTAATGCTAAGTATCTGAAACGATTCATTCTTGGATTATGAAGTCCATTCCAACGAATATCGATTAAACAATCATTTCAGCATCCCGTCAAGATCACCTTTATCTACTTAACCGATAGTCCAAATCTGAAGTTTATATACCCAAAATCAGACTCACGTACACGCCACCGAACTGCACTCTGTATAAAGATATTTTAGGTAACCTTGTTAAAGTAAATATCAGGCAGGGTTAAACTAGATAGTGCCACTGAGGGTACGACAAATCAATACTAAAGATGCTTTTCTGTTTTGTGGTAGGCAATGTGGAAAATTCCAGTAAGCCTCGAGCCGATTTGTTTCATGTAAAGCCTGAGGTCACATGCTTTTCAAAATGTTAGGTAAATACTGCGAAAGTAGAACGTGTTTATGTGCTGGCGTATTCGCCTCAGACTTCCACAACTCCTCAAGGCACTTTTCCTGAACATAAAGGTTTTGTAGCTAATAATGTCGAAGGAACAAGAAAGTGCATTTTGAGATAACTTTGAAAGTCAGTTTAAAGGCCTTGTGAGGACACGACTAATTAGCTTAACCGGACTAAAAGCTTGCCCTGGTGACAACACGACTGAGTAAAATGCTTGCTATTGCACGGGGTTTCTGCCAGAAAAGTGGTTAAGTCGTTTGATAAGCAAATTTCCATTTTTTTTTCAAAGGCCAATCGGACATACGGTTCTGCAGTTCCAAAGAGGTGGTGTGCAGACGCACACATTGTTGTAATTGGAGTATGTGCGTGTTCACAATCGACTTTAAGAACCGTAGGCGCACTTTTTGTTACCCAAGACGTCAAAATGGTTGAATATTGCTCTTGGGAAAACGGTACCTACTTCAAAACTGGACTCAATTAGCGGATGGTGGATCAAAGTCTCTGGATAATAAGACAATGAGTGACCACATGAGGAACTTTCTGTGTAAGTTTACGGGGAATCAAACATCCAGAAAAAGACACTTTGTGAACTTGGATTGTGACCAATGCAAATTACGTTTGTTGGATGAACAATTTTGCAGAGCCACTTAAAGTATTTAAGTAGGCGAAATGCGGCAGCTATCAATGGACACCGATTATTTGCACAAACAGCATGCGGCCGGGAGTACGACACTAGGAGAAATGCACACCACTTCAACGCGAATTTGCGTTTAAATGCAGCAGAGATCTTGAATTTTTGAATATATTTAGGCTAATTTTATAAATTTTAAAATATAACCTCGATGCGAAAACACAATGGAAGGGGTAATTCGATTAGTCCTAAGTTCTGATTATATTATTCTTGAAATTCTCTGTAATTAGGACCCCTTCTTCACAAATATTTTCATGCATCAACCTCCTAAAATTTGATCATTCTTGGTTTCAATAGCATTGAATTCTGTTTAAGCTGTCATCCAGTGTTAAAATAGGTCGTTAAAGATTTGTAATAATTATTTCTACATTGCTAAGTTTACTCAAGGCAAAAATGGTACAAAGTTAAATGGAATTTCACATTTGTGGACTTGCCCATGTCCCACATAAAAATACCCACGGGATCCAAACACAGGTTGTTGACAATCAGGTGTCTCGATAAGTAAACCGAAATAAAATCAGCCAACTTCATAATCAGGTACACAAAGACCAGGATGCCAACTCAGAGACGGTACAATGTGATTTTGTAGGCAAAATTAATAGGTGCAAAGTCATTACTCTGCAACCAGATAGTTCGTGGTTTGTTTTAATTACGACAAAGACAAAAGTTGGTGCCTTTAAACTTTCTCACCAACTTAGGTACATATCCGCTTTGAGGTGTTCACGCAACCAACGATAAGCTCAAAGCAGTGGGCCTTCACTGTGTGGCCTGGAACCACTCGTATCCACGGCTGTCGCTGGGGGCGTGCTGAAGGCGGTCTCAAGCAGTTGGCGTCACTTGGTGAGCCGGCATTACAAGTGTGCTAGCGTTAAGTCTCGAGAACGCGTATTAGAAGTCCCTAAAAAGGTGCTGCTTCCAGTGATAAATGTGCCCCTCGAAGCCTTGCCCCGTCAGGCTATTTGCGCCTTTAGCACGGTTTAATTTGGAAAGTGAGTGAATTGATAAGACAGTGGAAGCAATGTGAAAGTTGAAAGAAGAAAATGTCAGTGTTATTAGAATAAATTCGACGTTGAAAGATGCCGTCATAGGATTGGTGCCGATTAAGTTCAAGTTAATGATGATTACAAGCTTCAAAGTTATAGGAGGTAGGATTTGAAGAGAAAAGGAGACAGCAGAAAAGAAAGTGTCAGAGGTGTGACAATGATGAATGTGAAGAGTAACTGAAACGTGGGTAAATTCGTGGCCTTTTATACTTATATCTAAAGGATTAATTGGTAGGGTCGAACTTGGTGTTGGCGTCTTTTTCATCGGCACAGGGCGGAATAAGAAAAGTTCTGTATTTCTTTGGTCTTTATAGGATGCCTCAACTTAAATGAATATTTTATATTTACATAATGGCTTTGGGGCACGCGACGCGTTTGACTTGCGCTCACGCCATGATCCTGTAGGTAGCCTTGGCAATGCTCGAATTTCGATTGGCTGACAGCGTCCTGCACGCAAGACAAGGTGCGCGCATCGCAAAATGAGCCTCGCGTGACGGCTCGCGTTATCTTCAGGCGACGGGGGGACGCGGGCCTTGGCTACACACGCTCCCACTTCCCACTCCTCAGGCTGCAGTTGTGGCAACTTCGAGAGCAAATTGTGCCATTCTGAGAAGGTTCGTCTCGAGTAGTCTGAAGTGGCGAAAGGCATGAGGGCATCAATCGTTGCATTGGCAGGGGCCGTGGACACAATCGACTGAAGTTCATTGCACAAAATATCATGCATTTGTCACATGATGGTCGAAGAATGTAGTCACTTCAGTATTCGAAATGATAGACGCGCACCCAGTGTGATAAAATCTTGATGAAACCATGGTATGTCCAAGGATTTTGCCTATGGAAAGTGTTGAAGCAACGCTATTTGAAGACACTAGACCTTTTGTCTTGCTGGAAGCAGTTGCGAATGGCTTCTTTCCTGTGATAAATGTTGAAAAATTCGAACGGCTTATCATGTGTATTTGGTATGGATGCTTCCCAAAAATGTCGAAAATAATCAAGTTTACAGGTTATTTGTAGGAGGAAAATTATGGTTTTTACTGCATCTGATTCGGCTACGGAACTGCTAAATGTTACTAGGAATCCAAAAACGTTTTTTGATTGTCAAACCCACTTGAACGACACAGCCCTTAGCTGCACGCCGAGATCCACACGGTTGCATCACAGCTGTTTAGGTCAAACTAGCAATTATGTGTTGCTTAACGACGTAAGATTTCAGCCTAGTTGCGTTTCACTGGAAATCAAATAAATAGGTACTTTTTTCGGGCGTGACTGCTCAAAGGAGATCAAACAATTTATTTGAACAACCTTTGCTTATTCCCACCATGCCTCTTGGAAGAATCATTTTGGGTGAGCAAGAGTGAGAGACCACTGTCCCTTAGGTCCGGGTGGAACTTCAACTCCTGTAGGGGCAGTGTAGGATCTAAATTAGCCTTGTCTCTCGTTGAACTGCTTATTCCCGACCACGACGGGTTCTAAAGTAGGCATTCAAAGGCCTTCTAGATGAGGCTTTCAGAACAAACCAATCAGGTGCAGATGAGGGTATGGTATTTTAATATCTTTCCAGAGAAAGACGCACGAGGAACTTCTCGGCTCTCCTCTCTGGTACGAAGTGTTTTTAGCAGAAATCAATGATACAATATCGATCTATTCTCTTCTGGAACCAATCAAAGGAGCCTTTTTTAACATATACAGATACAAAAGGAGCGTATGTTCCCAAATCGAGAATCCTCTGGTCTCCTTTTTCAGATCACTAATTTCCGCCCCCATTTATTAGTTTACTGGGAGAAGTCCATAACACCTAACAGCTCAAATTATTTGTCCAAGAAAGGTAACAGTAGAGGTGTTTGATCCAATACGAATCTACATACATACATAGTAACATATCAGTTGTACAACAGATACAGGGTCTGTGACACCAGGTTCATCATATCCTGAGTTTGCTTTGGAAAAACCTATTAAAAATTTCTTCTGTTGGGGGGATGGCGCTATGTTTAGAATATCTGAATGTGTGGCCCTACCTGACGATGACTTTCAGGTTTCTTGAGTGCCTTTCAAGTGAGGTGTGGTATCTTGAACCATTTTTGAGGTTCAAATTGTAAGATAAATTTGTGCTTGCCCCACGTTGCTGCTCCAACACGATGCAACTGACAATCACTCTAAGTTACATCTTTAGTGCAGTGAATTATACCACAGCAAACTACACTGAACCAAGAAGAGCAATAATAAAAAGAGTGAACAAAGCGATCTCAGGCTGCAACGGCAAGCAGAACTAAGAGACAGTTCTGTTAGACCTGTTGCAAGGTGAGCCCCAGATTTAAGTCTATTTTCACCTGCCTCTGATGTGAATTTTAAAAGGTGTAAAGTTAAGACCCAGCACATTTACTTGTCCACGATATTCGTGCATCATGTCTGAATGCCGAGGAAGTTAGTCGGATTTCGAAATGGGTGCGTGGGTGTATGTGTGCGTGTCTGGATGTACACGCAGAGAAAGACAATTCTGCGTGCGTGAAATGAGCTCTCTGTTTCTGAGTGGGACAGCAAAGGAAAGAGCCAGACTCTCGTCCGATAACTGCGCATCACGCAACGGAATTTGCGTGATGCATTCTACTCTCCCCGCTAGGGCAACAATTTCTTTTATAATTCAGCAAAGACTCTTCAGGTCTACGGCATTCACACTGATAGTGGCTGCGAAAAATCCAATCTAGAGTTTGTTTTTTACAGCGAGGCTTAATGCCACCAACTTTTATTGCACCATAATGCTAAACACATTTGAAAGTCTTTAATTATATGTTTAAAAAAAGATAGCGAAAATATTGAGAACCATAACTTCGTTCCATTACGATTAGGTAACCTATGGCATCATCTACATCACTTCATGATGTAGATGATGCCATGAAACTTTGTCTCAATATGTAGACAGCTGCATACCCCCATACGACTGTCTGTAGCCAAAGCCACCCGTTCGACTAACTACCTTTCACACTGTGTTGATGGGGAGTGACTTACGTTTAAATAACACCGCATCCCTTATGTACTGATGATTAAGTAGGCTGAAAACCATGAGTGTCTTAAGTCATTTTTCCTACAAAAAATGGGACAGTTGTACAGTAAACAATTACTGGGATGCATTCAGTGTCTTACTTTCTCGCATGTGCATAAATCCTAAATTACCGATTGGCTTTTACGAAGCTCACAAAGAGCCGTTGGTAGGTGTGAGGTGGCTGGTCGATGTGGCACATCAAGCAGGAGGAGCCTATAGGAAGTTTCGACAGCATTAGTCCTAGAGAGCATTTATTTTGCATTTAAGAACTTGCAGTTCACTAACAGATTCCTTCGTATCGAATGAGGAATAGAAAACGATTTTATAAATGGCATTCATCATATGTTAATTAGCAAAGAAGCTTATGCAGCCAAACATGAGGAAACGCGACGAATCACATGGTTTCGGCCAATCAGAAAGCTACATCCAACTAGCCATTCAGGGCTGCAGAAGCACGTGCGAGCACTCTGCTCCCCTGGGACTTCACAATTTCCTGTTGCAGACCGCCATGGCAACGGACAGACTTTCTGTGGATTCGCTCACTACCCTTCCTCCTAGGGAGGCCCCTATACGCATCCAATGCTTCCTCTGTGAACTTCCGCGAAGCCCGTGGGCTATGGTGTTCGATTTTTCTCTCCCGGTGTGCCGTGGCTGTGTCAATTACGAAGGCGCCGACAGGATTGAACAGGTAATCCAATGGGTGGGTGCTCAAAAACATGCTGCCTTGCAACGCGACGAGAAATTCAAGTTGGATTCGCCTATCGTTCAGCAACCCTGCCTAAAGAGTCCGGCTCTCATTGCTGTTTATGTAGAAGCCCTAAGATTGTTACAACAGCAGCAGAAGCAGCGGTTACAGCGAGAAATGAAGTTTCCAGCGCCTGTAAGGTCAATTGCGCAACCTGGACGTGTAGCCCTCTGTGTTGGAGCATCCCACGATAAAGACTTTCCCACGAAAGATCGGCTGTTTTTTGAATATCCACCAACTTCTGGGAAATTAATTCGAGGTGTCACAAATTTGCTCAATGAAATGGACGTCACCGAGACCGATTTGGAGATTGAGACTCAAAGGGGACATTGGTGTCGGTTAGAAGAGGTCTTTTCAAATCGTCCTGTTGAAATTAACAGGGTCCACTGCCTGGTCTGTGGCGTCGCTTTAGAAGGCAGTCACTTCGTCCAGTGCCCAGTGCATTCGCAGCACCGATTCTGCTTTGCCTGTGTGCGTGCCAGACTACTGCGGTGCGATACAGAACCGGAGAAGGAAATGCGATTAAGGAAGAGGAGATTCCACTGCCCCAGCGGGCAGATGTGCACCCTTCCCGAAACGCCCGGTGTGCCGTGGAGTTTTGTTGAATCAGAGATCGCCGTGATCCTACGAGGGACTTCTGACAAAACCCACACACAAGCGACAGTATTCGATTTAAAACAAAAACGACAATTGTCTGGGTCGCCTGACGAGAAGTACAGGAAAACTACATCGCCGACGTCACCGGCAACTGCATAAATGGCCTGAATTTATAGCTGTATGTATGTGCATATTTGATGGACGCATCAATTTTATTAGCTCTTAGACATTATTAGTCACGGTTTTCAGTTGCTTTTTGCAAGTTATAAACATTTGCTCAGTGAAACCCTCGCCTTTTGCAGTCTGAGGTGGCTATGTGAGGTTGAGCTTTCGTTAAATCGCGATACTGTTTCTCGAAAAGAACCTCAAATAATCCGCTCTTCAGCGATCTTATAATCAAAAACAAAGTCTCTCATTTCCAGTTCGATGCAGTTGTCACAAAATCATTCTGGTCTGGTCATTGTCCAAATGTCCCCACACGTAACTCCAGGTACCGAATAGAAGAAATCAAGTGTTTTCTAGTTGTAAAGAACACGATTCCTTGAAAAACTCTGTGTGCAATGTAAATCATCCGTTAGGAAATGTCTGAAGCGAGTTTAGACAGCTTAACAATTGGATGATTGCAAAAGTCTGCGTGCCATTTGGAAACAAATTAGGTACAAAACATACTCATTCAAAAAATATATCCATGAACCAGTAATGCACTGTCAGTCATTCTCTAAATGACTCCCAACGTTTTACAAGCAGTTGAATTTCTCTTTTGTGTAAACTACGAGGTTTCTTTTCACAAGGAACCGTAAAGCGCTTTTTGACATCTACCACCTAATCAATTGGCTGCATTCAAATAAATTTGCGGAGAAAAAATGGGAAATTTGTAGTTTAGTTTAATGTCACCCTTTTAACCACACAAAATTAGTGACTATTTGTTCTAAGAACAGGAGTACGATCCAAAAGAACACAAATATTTTTGCTTGGAAAAATAACGCTCACTCCACGTCACAACACCAAGGCTGCTCCTCATTTTGCATTTTAACCGTGCACACAAATTAGGCATAAAGACCTTTCGTAGCTACGTTGACTCATGAATTGATAGTAGAAAACCCTTCAGTTGTTAATTAGATTACAAAAGAAGCACCAACAGAGTCTAGAGTGCATGCGCCTTTCATCCGTGAAAATCGGGTGCGGAATTTTGCAACCACCCATTCGATTAGAACCCAACCAAGCACAGCACCTGTCAGCTTATCTTCTTAAATCGCAAAGGCACATGCAAGTCAGCTGTTTAATCGACTTAAACCATCTGATTTGTTTGTTAATTAAGCAAATAGTATTAGATGAAATAATACTCGAAAATACCACCCAACGTAACTCCTAAAGACAGGTTTTGTCTTTGCCGTAACGGCGGAAGCCTTGTTTACGTATGCTCACCTTAGCAGTCTCTACTAGTAGGACTTCAACGTCGCTTCACATTAGCAATTCTTAACTACCGATACCACATGGAATACACTGGTCTAGCTTTGCCGAAGAGCACGTAACAGGCACGACAAGAAATATAAAACTCTAGGTGTGATGAGGAGTTGTCATTTTGGTGTACGACTCCTCTCCAGTCTGGTGCACGACGGATTGTGAAACGAAATAGTAGCAGTAAGGTGTAATGCGCCACACCATCCGCAACACCGCATCTAGTGGACATGTGACTGAAGTGCTCCGAATTAGTTCACTGACGCACCCCACCAACCTTCCTCGTTCACTTGCCTGCAACACCTTCCCTGGACTGCCACATTCGTTCATCGGTTAGGAGGCGATGCCTCTGTGATCTTGTGGTGTCCAAGCTTCAGGTTTGACCAGTGGCGTGGATTGCTGGGTGTCGACTGATATCCAACCAATGTCCTCACCGAGTCTCCAGTGTTGTGGTGCCGTCAGCATTGCAATCACCAGTCCAAACGTCACCAAGCCCCATCTGCTGCCCATCAAGTTGGTTGACCGTACATAGCTCGTGAGATGTCGCAAAATCGTAGAGGTAACGTTGGAAGGGTGTCTCACAGCTGACTACGATGCTCATGTTACTCGTGGCTATTCACTTTGACTTTTAAGAAGGGGCAACCTAGAGGTGGTGAAATCGAATGCAGTCACGTTTCGCAATGTCCGGACTTACGAGGTGTCCATTTGCACAGCGAGACCGTGGTTCAAGATAGAAGCAGTCAAATGCGCCAAAATGACAGCGCCTGTTTAGGGAGAATCACAATCCCCCCTTCCCACAAATGACAAAATTCGATGTGTATAATTGTTAAGCACAACCATATAGTCAATGGTTACATCGCTTTACGTTAGAAGGCTGGCCTATCTTCAAATAAAATTGGATCTTATTATATTCCCTCGAAGTACGTCTAATACGGCCACTTTCCTGATCCAAAGCACACAAATGTCGCCCACACAAACAGCTTATACCCTTCAAAAAGACGTAGACATCGAAGATTCGACAGCTGCCTAATTGAGCACCACCAAAGAACCATTGCGTATACGCAGTATCACGCCATCAGAGCCCCACATTGTGCAACATATCACGGGTTACTTCTTAGCGGCTTCATTTTGGTGGGAGCAATTTAAATTTCTGACCTAGAGTCAAAATGGTGTGTCAGACAATGGACGTTTTGATAAAAAAAACGTTTTGTTAATAGCATAACCTTTACAGGTGTGCTAAAATATTGGCAAATCACATGGAAGTTAATAAGCATATAAAGAGAAATAGAAAAAAACCAAGGCACACAAAGGAGAAAAGTACTGTAGTAGTAAGAGAACGAGACGCAGTGTACGCAGGCATTCGATGATGGCGAGTAGCAAATCAGACGAGACGTCGCAGAGGACCCGAAGTACTTCCTATAAACTGATTGATCAGACCGACCAAAGAATGTACAGAGGACGGTGAGGACAGCACCGTCAGAAACGATGGGATACCACAGGTACTAGTGTGTTGTCAGTAGAAAGGACTTGACCAGCTTCATCACAGGCAGCTTCGTAGGAGGCAGTAAGTCCTAGGCGAGTAGTGGCTGGGACGGGGACAAGAGTCGGGCGCGTTCCTGCTCAAGAGCTCTGTTGAAAGGCCTGCATTGATGAATAGACACATTTACAATCAGTAGAAGAAACGTGGTTGAGAAAGACCTATCTGAGCCAATTTTTTGTGGAATAACAACACTCACTAGGCACAGATGTAATACCTCTGGGCAAAAGTGAAGCTTACAGAGCAAAATCATGGAAGGGAGGTGTCTCGCGAGAAGCGAGGCAGTTCCAACGTCCCGTTTTGGCCTGAACAGCAGCCACCTCGACCAGCGTGTTGACGGCTTCGGGTCGAGGCGGACGCGAGAGCTCGCCGGGCGCGATCCACGAGTTCGCCGTGTAGAGACAGTCGTCCAGGGTGGCCAGGCGCCGTTCTTTGCTCGCGCCAGCACTCCAGACGGCAGGCGGCGGGTTGGGCAGGAGGAGGGAGTTGAGGCACGTCGAGACGCAGTCCGCCGTCGCCGACGCAACGTAGCCCCCTTCGAGCACCAGGCCAACACAGCCATTGGCTAGAGACATGCACTGCAAAAGGACGGACATGCATTAGGCAAGAAGGCAGATCAACAGAAAATGGGCGAAGGAATTTCAAGGGAGAATGCAACTGCTAAAGTTCCACATAACAAAGTGGACTCTGGTGGGTTTTCGCGAAACCCCCTGCACGCCAGCACGTTTTGCGCTTTTTCTGGGTACAATCAACGCAGTCCAAATAGGGCCGAAACCGCATGCTGCTCGAGGTGAAACAGCATGTTCAAAAATTGGAGTGTGACGGCCTGAACCCAGACCAAAACACAGGAACCTGCAGCAGCACTGAAAAGCAACAACGGTCGTATTTAAAGTCTACAATTCTAAAAAGCGATTCACGTAATCCAAAAAAAGCTAGCCCTATGGTATATCACTTGATGGCAACTCTTGATACGTTACACGAAGCTGTTGGTTAAGCAGCGTGCATGATCATTAAGCCCAATGAGCCACATACACCTTGTGCCGCGGGGGCTTCAACAGCGCAGCCACACGATCAAAGTCAAAAGATCCACTTACGACAAGAGCGATGACACAAACTTTATTACACACGCAGCTGCGTGCATCGCGATAAACGTCAATCTCCAAACCGAGAGGCTTCACTTATTAAAAGTGTTCTACCTATGGGTTTATAGTCTGAAGTGGTTTTACTCGGGTCCCACCACCGATTTAATTAAACTGCAAAGGCACACATTCGAGAAATCAGGTCAATCACCAATTAAACCACTTGTGACAAGGACGACAAACAACGTCGACTGCAGGTGCTAGTGCGTGTGCCAGCGGAACCGAAAGTGATGCTCTGCTGACTTTTAAAGTTGTTCAATTATGATGTGCATCTCGGTGAAAAAGAAATCCACCATCCGCCACAGGTTATGCGAGTGCTCTGCATGATGTTTACGCCAGACTGCAGCCCCAACCCCGGTTTATGACGCAACTGCAAAGCGTCGCAGTCAACGAGCATTAGGCGTGCCACTTCACGACCAGCCTGGAAGAAACCACCACCAAGGCTCAACAGCCCTTGTGAGGATGGCAGGCGCTTGTGCGTTGGAACTATGCCAAGGACCTTGCAACGCCACAGTTAAGCTTACTCGCTTTAGTGAATCGCATAGTAAAGAAACAACGTCAATGGTCTCCCGTAAGAGGCAAATGGGCTCTCCTGATCAATATTTACCGAACTCAAAATCACCTAGCGCATCAGTCTAAGAACGTCTTCAAACCGAGATCGATACTAATAAAACGAACGTAAAGGGGTGACGGGAAATATCAAAGTGCAGATATGAGCCAATGACTTGGCTATCAGCATGTGCTGACTTCAGAGATGATTCCATCTTTTTTGGAGAGAAAATGTGCGCCAGGCAAAATGAAGCGCGGAGAAATGTTACCTGGCGAGTCATCCAGGCAAAGGCACCGGGAGAAATCTTGTATCCCCCGAGGGCACTGCCGTGTCCGGCTGCACCGTCGAACCCTGCCGACACAAGGACAACATCGGGGGCGAATTCACTCGCAATGGGGAGCACAAGGGTACGAAAGGCGGCCAGGTACTCGGCATCTGAGAGGCTCATTGTAGGCGATTCAGAAGAAGACGAACGCAGGACGTGGGCATCGACCATACCGGCGGGAGAGGAGGGAGGGGACGCGTCATTTGGTTGAGGGCAAGAGGTCAGGCTGATGGGACGCATAGAACAGTCCTCGGGCATCAGCTGGACGCCGCTGTCGTTAGACGTGTTCGCCGATGAATAATTGGCTGAACTAGTCATTGTGGCCTAATAGGTCAATCAAAAAATCCACTTTTCAAAGGTGAAGAATGAAAATCAGATTTAGTGAATGACCTTTTACACACGACATTGGATTTACATACACATTTGATTTTTTACGCTATTGGCTCATGGGCCAAAGTTTCTCTGCCGCATAATTAAGTGACAGTAAGAGAGCGCATGGAGGAAATTGGGATATCAAGCCTCGCGTTTGAAGCGAAAATCAGGTCCCGGCACCGATGCCCCATTGTCATGCAAGAAGAGTGCCAGCTGAATGCGATATGTGGATTTTGCCTCAACGATGGTGGGGTAAATTAGTCCCGCATGGATGACACGCTGAAAGAGTGGTCGCTTTTTTAGCAGTAAGAGCAGCAGCAGCAGCAGCAGAATTGAAAACAACAAAGACATCGAGTAGGGTGAAGTTTGTTGTACGGAACACACCAACTGCGCCATGAATGGCTCTAGACACAACACATCAAACATTACCTGTTTCTGACTACTCTCAGTGAAAACCGACTGTGCTAGAGGACGTCGTGGTGCGAGAGCTTCCAGAAAGGCACGTGTGGGGTGGTGTGCAACTGAAGTTGCGCAATCTGCAAGTCTTTTGCTAAATGAAGGCTACGAAATGAAATTGGTGGAGAAGAGCAGTGATGTGTCAAATAAGCAGTAATTACGTGTTAGGTGGTTTAAAGAAATGACGCAAAAGAGTGGCGCAACCTGAAGTTCGCACACGTCAGACAAATGAATGGATGTGGTGGGAGCATACACAGAGTCACATGAGACCACGGGAAACGAACTCCACGGCGATAAGAATAAGTCATCCGAGAAGGAGACAGCAGAATTAAATAAATGGTTGCGGGGCAAAGAGAACATCGACTGGTATGCGCTTCACACAGTCGCGAAAAGTTGGTAGGAAATTGCATTGAACATTTTGTGTAGAGGGAAGAAAGATCACCCCACCATCGGTGACGAAGAGGGCGTTATGCTCGGAGGCATCGAATACCAGACTCACGGAGAGGACATCGTGGGCCAAGAGTAGACACGACGGGGATAGTTTGTAATCTCACTGGTATCGACGAGCGCAAGAAAGCATTTGTAAATAGGGCGCTGCTGGAAATGCACCAGCACACCCTAAACAGAATACTACAAACATTCTGTCATAGAAGAGGCAAGCCCTCAACCGCGGAAATACGAGCGGTACGTGTTTTTCATCGACGTGACTCAGATGAAAACAAGTCAATTCGCACAACGCGAGCCTTATTTACGTGCAGTAGTTGCGCCATCGTAATTTCGGTAGCTTAATAAACAAACACGGTAGCTTTAGGCGCAATGGTGTAGCACTAGCAAGTACGGAATTGTGCTTCAAAGTACAGAAACCGAAGCCATTTCAGTAACTATCTATTTAAGTAAGGCAATTAACGAGATGGCCACGTTCTACTAAGGCATGAACATGGCCAGCTTGCGCAGGAGCAGACGGCCTGTAAGACCCGGCACACACTAGAAAGAGGTGGATGTCGCGGCAACATCGACTGGAGCCATGCAGTTTGTGCTGGTGGAGGTAAGTAGGAAAACAGTTAGGGCAAGCCGTGCAGATAGTACTTTTGCAACTTTTGATGCCACTCCACGCCTGGGCACCACCGATTGGGCAGTTTGGTAATACGCATGGAACTAGTATATCGAATGCTCGACAACCCACCTGTCGCCAGGATTCGCGCTTCAAAGAGGCATTTGCTGTTCTGGGGGTCGTGGTGCAGCCCCAGGGAATGTTGATCGTACGGCCGCCAACGCCCTCATCCCCCTTGACGCCGTCCAGAAAAGATCCGGTCCCGGGGAAAAATGTGCCCTGGTCGTACCGATGCAACGAAATGTACAGCAGACCGGGATGCTTGGCCGCAGCAAACTGTGTGCCATTGCCATGGTGGATGTCCCAATCGAGAATGAGCACACGCTGGGCAAGGCCACGTTGGAGAATCGAGAGAGCGGCGATAGCGACGGAGTTGAAGTAGCAAAATCCCATGGCTTGATCGGGCTCTGCATGGTGCCCCGGAGGGTGGACAAGGGCGAAACCATTTCTCAACCTGCCACTCGCAAGACTAGAGCACACAAAATACGACGTGGAAGTACTTCACATCAAAGCGGACCTTTGATGAGGGTTTTCGTACAATGTAGCTAACTGATTTCCCTAAAACACTAAGCAAAACACATCCCTTCGCTCCGCAAACATCCGCCAAAAGAGGAAGTAAAATGCATTGGGGTTTTAGTAATCCATGTTTTGATTAATATTCCTCACAATGTAACATTACTACAACCAGTCATTGACCCTAGTGTTGCAGGCATCACATGCTGTCCAATAGTTTATTTCCATAAAGCTAGAATGCACGCTGACAAACAACGTGCATCGGTTCCGACTAGGGGCCACTTGTGGCCCTAAAATTTGCTGATTTAATTGTGGAAACAATCAACAAATGCGTGTGCGTGTGTGTGGTAGGCAACTCTTGCGACAGACAATTGCAGGAGGAAGGAAAGGACGAAAACCGCACGAATGTCAAACATGAAAAGGCGGTGCATTGAGAAAGGCCTTCACAGCGCTCTTACTTGTGTGCAAGGCACATGACCTGACCAACTGCAAGCCGCGCTGACTTTGAAGTGGTCTCAGCGTTCCAGACGGTGTCCGAGTCAACGCCGACACCGCCACAACGGAGCGTGGCCAGCAAACCTCCACACCCGTCTCTGGAGGACGAGGAAATAGACGATGAGGACGAAGATGACGACATTGAGGAACCTTCCTCTTCACCTTCCACGGATGAATCCGGACAGTAGCGTGCGATGTGTTCGGAGGTGTGGAAAATGGCCAATTCCTTCTACAAGACCAAATATCGCGTCACAATTAGGTACTACCCATAAAATTTTATTTGCTTAGATCGATTTAATTCACTTCTATACAGGACGGTGCAGCCGCCGCAAAACAGGCAGCTTGAGAAGACGAAACGCTTTGTATAGCACACAATTGTACACGTCTTCAAATGACATCCTACCAACCACCCGGTGCAGGCTTGAGGCGTTATAGCGTCCGGTGTAGTAGTAGAGAAATTCACCTCGGCACGCTACGATGCTAGCGAATGCAGGCTCAATAAGCGGCAGTTTACAATTTACATCATGCATGTGTTGAAAGGGATGTGAGCTGAAATACGATAGAGTTGCAAATATCGGTGGCCTATTGGTAGAGGGAGGGTGGGTGGACGCTCGGAAACACGAATGAATCAAAGATGTTTTCAACTGTAAGTAGAATTGAAATATGTATAAGCGAGCCAGTGAGGAATGAGGCATTTCATCAAATTCACATTAGCAAGTGGTCCATACGTAAAGACAATCAAGCTATCCCAAGAGTAGGTCATGATTTAGTTATGATGGGGAAAGCCAACCACAGAGGCCTTTCAATTAATTACACAGACAAGCGTCGTTTGAAGTTTGGGAGAAGCATATGTCAAGTGCTGGTGTGCAACCAGCTTTGTTGCAAAGTAGGCCAGTATCGTGCGTCGGAATGTCGTGGGTAGCGAAGGCGCGAATTAACCCAGTAGGCGCAGTGAAGATTCCACTGGACTAACGGCCAAAACATCGAATGGCATCCCAAAGTATAACTTCGCTGAATGCCTAGTGTCAAGTCATAGAACAGCTTTACGAGTAATCATAAAGTTCAGAGACCATTAAAATGTCTGTAGTTACTATGGGAACGTATAAAGATTGATGTTCGACTGTGAACCTCCGCAATTAATAGTAACCCGCAATTATGGCCTTGGGTATAGGCGCGAGCACTAAAAAAATACTGGCGGATATTCCCTGCAATCACATGGTCGCATTTCAATGGAACAAAGAAAAACCTTTCAAAGTGGTTACGGAAAGCAAAAAAGCATATTTCGTTAAACAAAATTCGCAATTAATAAAAACTGAGCCCGAAAACTAGTCCCATGATTTCAAACAAAACACCGCGAGCTAGTTCGGATTTTATTGACGAGAAATTGCCTTTAAAAGACAAAACTACATGCTGTTTTTTTTGTAGCAGACATAAACTAAATTGGTGCACTTTTCGAGTCACGATGATAAATCCCGTCTACAAAGTACAAACATGCAGAAACGAACGCCCACACGGGAATGAATCAAAGTGGAAGACCCGAAAATGCCACTTGCCGTGACTGGAGCCCAATGTTTCAGTGGTGAGAGGGTGAAAAAAGATGCACAAAAACACACACACCCCGCTGTCCAACAAGCAGCTGAATGCGACCTCAAAGCCCACGAAGACCTGTCAATGTGGACAGAATGTGGAGTCGGTGTGAGACTTGAGAGGGTGATTCTTGACAAAACCTACCCGCGTGGCCATTCGAGCCCTCATCCAACGGCAAAAGAATGCCAAGGGGAGACCCTCGGAGAGGAAGGAAGGTGTACCGCTTTCGGTGGTGGCGGAGGTGTTGAGGAGACCTTGCGGAATCTGCAACCGAGAACTGGCAATCTTTTCAAGAATGGACTTCAGGCGAAAGGGATGCTCGGGATGTACTTGAGGGTTGTTACCGTTTGGACAGATGCACAGATGAGAGAGCATGGTAGGATCAAAGAGCATTGCCGTCCTGCGGGACCAAAGGCAAACAGAATGACAAGCATACACCTGGTCCAGGCACAGTTACCCAAATCAAAACACGCCTTTGCCCAAACTTTTACTTGCGAAAATTAACCACTTCTAGCGACACAAAATAGAGCATGAGGTTGGTGACAGTGTCGGTACCCAAATACTTAGCCTTGGTCTGAATGCTAACGAAGCTCAGATAAAAAAGTGACTGTACTCTCACTGTCCACAACCACGAGAGCTAGACAATGCTTCAGTTTCAGAGGGCGAATAGGTAGCGCGCTAACTCAAAATGGTGCTAAGCAGATAGGCGCGTAAGTAGACGCAACTATTACCACTACTAATCTATAAAAGCAACGCTCGCTTATTGGTAAAAAAAGCTGATTTCGGCGAGGCCATAATCCATACGTACTCAGTGGGTGTACCCCTAGTTTTCGCTTCCGCATCGGAGGAGGTTGGCCAGTCGACAGAGGGCAGGCTGGACCAGTGTCGTAGCAGCTCGTCATGGGCTCTTTCAAGGGTAGACTGGAGGAAGTTGTGCATTGCCGGGACGGACACTCCACTGGCGGTGGCGGGGGCGGCCCACGAGGCGTTTTTAGCGTTTGTGCACTTGTCATCATTGACGGGGCGCTGTGGTGGGCCGCCCAAACTTAGCGCGGCCAGTGTCTCCTGTGTTTCTCTCAGATTTTGACTCACCTGGGTACCTGAAGTGAGTAGGACGCATAATGAATTCCGAGCGCTAAACGAAGCCGCTTGTCTTGTGTAGCAATTCACTAGTATTGTACGTTTTGCTCCTAAACCACACAAGACGGGCACGATCGGTGTAATTTGGCCTGACTTCGAACACTTAGAACTGCATCACACCAGGTTCCCAGCCATAGTGCTGAATGTTCAATATTTAATTTTTGCAGAGACCAGTTGGTGCGTAGATTTGAAATTGAAAATGTTTGTCTCAGCCTTTAGCCCAAATAATCCTTTTAAATCGGAAAAATCTCAAAGTGAGACGAGGACCACAATCCAAACACATGCGGAACCACCTGAATTAGAATATGAGCACGACGCTAACTAATGATTGTAAACTTTAACCTCAGAGTGCCTCGAAACTCATAAAATTGTTTACTTCCAGAACTTGGCATGTCAACAATGCAAGGGAAAAAGAAACTTTTTTGCCAACGATGCAACGAAAACAGCACAGGCGCGATAAAACGCAGTAGTCTACTGGCGCAGAACCCTCTACACCACCAAGACGGCGCTTGACACGCCACTATCAAAGGAGCTTACTCACACACGCGCATGCACTGGTGTGAAATAAGCGACATGTGCGCTTGAGGGAGCGCCAGTAGGTAGGATTCAATTATACAAATAGGACAACACTTATCACAAATGACGACAAAAAACACCAAAAGTGCTATTACTTCTTGTGCACAAGCAAACAAGTACGAATCCACCCACGCAGAGGTGTTGGCGAACAAATGTGAGTAGGCGAAATCATTAGGAAAACTAGGCGAAAGTACGCTTTGCAAGTATGATAAGGAAATAATCCGTGAAAAAGTATAATTATTCACTTGGACTAAGGTCATGTCGTGAATCCTGTTTATTCAACCCCTAATCCGGTCGCTCCACCTCCTACACAGGGTTCCCCTTGTCGCAGTATGTCGCCAGCCGCTCGAATCCTCAACTCCCCCCTTCATTAGCACGAATATTTATCTTGGAGTGTCCCCACACATAGGTCTCGATGTTAGCGCTTACACATCCGAGCTATAAATACACACGCGCAAACACCACACACGACACAACGACACCAACGTGGTTGACCTCTGAAGTAAACGCTTGTGTCCGTCCGCTACGGCCTTTTCCATCATCGCGGGTATCAGGGAAGCGTAATCGGGCCAGGGTCAACTCCGTGGCCCCGGCGTGGTTCAAGACCACATGCTGGGGCCAACAACAGTCACATTGAACTTGAATCTTTTGTGTACAGCTGCAAACATGGTGATTGTACTTCCTAACAAGTGTGAATACCCACCCACACAGAAGTGTTGGCTGGCGATAACTGCCCACTCGTCTTAGACTTGGGGCAACCCACTTGGCTACGATCGCAATTTATAAGTGGCCAGGGAAATTGCCAGAACACGCTTTAGCCCAGACTCTAGTGATCCCTTCGTGTTTCCGAGATCACAATGCTTGGCGTGGAATAGATCCGTGGTAGTGATCCTATCGAAGCAGTCAAATATCCGAATGAGTGGTCAACGATTTCTTTACACCAAATGTAAGGTGAATAGATTTGTTTTGTTTATTGACTTGGACGAGCATGCATAAATCCCAAATAAATACCACAGCACTTAAATCCGATTGAAAGCAAATTAATCGCCGACGACGATGCTGGAACTGGTGGACCTCCACACAAGCTACTACGATGGTAAGAAGTATGATCACAACTTTTTCGAAGAACATTTAAAGGCAACCCGATGTGTACAGTTCCACTGTGGTCAAAAAAAAGAGTTTGGATGGACCAAGCTTTAATGTCGAGCTGCCCGCCAAGTTTCCTCCTAAGTAGTTGAAAAACATCTGGAATTAAATGCTCATGGCTACACTTAAAACGGTGACATTAAACTGCAAGCTAGTTTAATTCTAGCACTACACAATCACATGCCCTCTCTTCAGCTACAAGGTACTAACTTGCAGTTCATACAATTACGCTTGAAGGTGAGATGTATGAAAGGCGAATTTCGGGTTGTGCGTGATATCTATCGAATTCAAGTGAATCAAAAAGTGGGGGCTTACAATGACCCATTTTAAGTCTAATTTCAGAAACGCTGCAACCATCAGGCTACGCATAATTTACATTCCAATTAAACTGCCCAATAGGTGAACTAGCTAGGGGAAAACGGCTGAAGCAATGCACACCCGATAACAGTGTGTGTACGGCAAGCACAATTCACCGCCACCCACAATGCACTGTCATTACTAAAATTATACCTCGGTTCACACAGACGTCACATTCAGTCAGCTACTAGTGCAGTAGCTAATTAATAAATCCATGTCACAAAAAAAGACCAATTTGACTACGGGAGAGCTTAGTTTAAAAGTACTCCGCAACAGCGCGCACATTCTGCGGCACGTCAGTGCTGCTGTGCCTAGCTGTCCCGAGGTGGAATTTGGTTTGAATAACCGCTGTACCCTATTGCCGATTGGGCGGGCCAGTGGATAACAAATTTGTCCAAATCTACGTTTTCCTCATTGAAGTAGCCACAGTACCTGGCTAGTTTGGTATAAAACAGGCATCAGGAATGCCGGTTGTATAACAATGACGCATAAACAGTCACTTGAACACACCAAAGCGATGAGAAAAACGATCACATTTCGTATTTTTTTGACCGGAACTATTTTTGCATTATGATTGTAAAAATTATTCCATCCCCAACGGAGGTCACGCAATCTGAGCCAGTGCAGGCTACAATAGGTGAGGTGAAATACTCCTTAACCAAGCAAACACGGACAGAAGTAAAGCAAGTATAATTCAATTCTAAGGACAATGAGCATTCAAACGTGCCATTATCTATTTTATAAAAAAAAGGTTCATTCATTCATTTTTTAGACATAGCTAAGTCATTTGTTTGATTTCCAAGCCAACTAAACCACAAAGGACCTTTTAACTTCAGCGTGCGTGACTTCTGGTGCAAAAAGGTTACTGAAATATGGACACCAAAAGCCATAATACTAAATATAGCGATTCATGCAGACCACATCACTCAAAATCGCATTCGAGTGTTACAATGGAAAAAGGAGACAAAAGGAGGAGAATGGGCGTTTTGCGTTATTTAAAATGCTCTTAACCAAGGGCATCGCGGAAAAGGCAACCGCTTTTCCCTGCTTTATCATGAAGTACGACAGGCCTCCAGGCATTGCACGTTGGAGGCACTTTGGCGATTTCTGTGCACTGCCAAACAACGTGCTAGTGGGCCACGAACGTCACACGCACAAGAGTCGAAGCCCGAGTAAGCGAAGTAAGCTCACAAGGAGCACATTTCGTGGAAACGCAAAGTAGCAAAAAATTGATGATTGCGCCTGGATACACACACAATCAAGATTAAAACCGTGCTCACAAAAACCCCGTGTTAGCACTCTTCCACCTCCCAGGCATTGAGCTAGCAAATAAGTGAAGCCACTAGCTGCATGTTGCAAATTACCCGGCGGTTTTGGCAACACCACACCTCTAGATTTCGTTGCTTTAAGTGTCAATCATAAAAGGCACAGTTAGATCACAGATGGTTGAGAGGAACTATAAATAGACAAGTGAAGAACAGCCACAGTAGTTGAAGAAGGGCACTGAAGCAACAGGAGTTTGGGTCAAACAAGAACAGCAGTTATGGCAGTTGTGCAGAAAACACGAGACGAATATTGTGACCACGTCACAACTGGAAAATAATTTGTCTTACGTGCTAAAAAACGCCAAAAAAAGTTTTAAAAGGTCGATTTTCATGATGAGTATTTGTTGCGTAAAACCACGCAATGCAAAGGTGGGTTTTTTTCCAAACAAATGGTGTGAATAAACAAGAATAAGTGGAGAGGCGGAGGGACATTGAACTAAAGACGTGAGGATAAAATTACGTTCGCCGGAATTTGTCTAGTTACTAAAAGTATTTCCTGGTAAGTAAAGAAAGCCCTTGGCTGCTCTAGACCGGTCACTGGTGATGTACCCAGTCACCCTTTCTAAGAGCCTTGTGTCTCGACTACGCAGTGAGTCTTGGTCGAAACGACGTGGGGAGTAAAACAAGAACAACCCCAGTACACATGCTGATAATTTTATCTTCAGACATTTTGCGTCAATTCTAAGCATCGAAATCAAAGCACGGCCAGTAGTTAGTTGGGGGAGAAGAGACCAGTTCGGAGTCATGTCAACTTTGGCATCGAACAGGCTCAACCGACCAATAATAGACGATACCCTGTACCAGGAATCGGTGACATAAAAGCATACAGCTTCATGTTCGGAGGCGTTAATGGTACTTACTGAGGGTCCGTCGAAATACGGGGCTGGTAATGATGCTTAACTCTGACGGGCAGTTGGGGGCGTTGACCGCGCTGACTTCAGGCAGTGGGCAAAGCGAGGCGAGTGGGGCGGGGGCTGCGGCGTCGTGGGGACCCGGTGCTGCGCCCAACAGACCGGGGCTGGAGGTGGACGGAGGAAGAGGAGGAGGAGGAGTTTCATTCACCCCTCCGAACGCGGGCAAGTGTTTCTGCACGGAGGCATTCTGAGGTAGTGTGAAGAAAGAGGGGTTCATTTGGACACCACGACAGCGGTAAATGGGGTTTTCAGCAGGTATGCAACCGTTAAGTATGGTTAGGGACGAAAACTTGGTAGCGAAAAAGAGGAACTAGCACAAGACACCTGCCGTTTTATTGGGCCACGTGTATCAAACGACTTCGGGGGTTTTCAGATGATGATTATGATAAGGAAAAGGAAACAAGGTTTGGTGTCACAGAGCAATTTGCCTGCATTGGTCATGGTCACTTAACATAACCCCCGAGGAAGGGTTAAAAACGAGATGAGAGTAGGATGGAGAAGGTGGCAAAGAGAGAATGCAGAAATAACTTATGAAGAAAGTATAAAAGAGGAGCTACTTGAAGAGAGAGTATGGTGACTAGGGGACACACGATAAATATGATGCCGCGACAAAAATTGCTGCGAAAAAAGGGCGAACATGGGGACGCAAAATAAAAAAAAGGAGAAGGGTGTCATATATAAAAGAAATTACCCGAAGCGCCTCCAAATGGTGCATAAGTAGGGAGAATTCGTCAATACAGGCACCAGTTGATGCTGTTGGTCGAACGCACCCACCAGCTTGCCGTTTGGTTGCCTCTCCAGCTGGGCCCGTAGAAGTCAAATCGAGGGGCATTTCCGTAATGGAGGGGAAGGAAGGAGGCGCCGTAAAACTCTTCGAGTCATCTTCAAGGTTCATGTGGGCTGGCTGCGGGTTGTAGCTCAACTGACGTACCAACGAGGGCACATTGACACCTGTGAATGTACACACTCAGTTTTTGAGAATGTCCAAGTTAACTGCAAGTTGTGCGGATCCAAGGCTACAAATATGCAACTACACTTAAAGAAAAAATTAAATTAAAACAGGATTGCTTTGATTGGTAATTAAAAAATCTAACATGGCTTTGTATCCGCTGAGTAGATCGTTCCACCAGTGGCCGAAGCTTTCACGTTTGTGCTCTGTGAAGTGCAGTAACGAAAATGGGCAGGCGTGATTGCGAACTTTTTTCAATTAGCGTCAAACGAAAGGCGTGCCCACAACTGCAGGGTTCAAATTAGAGGCCACTTTCGTTGACCAAGGCGATAAAGCTGATTAAAGGGAGATCAGGGAGGAATCCGATCGACTTCTTACATGATTACTCACACGCGTGCTTGTGCACAATCTCACCATAAACAAAAAAACTTTTGTTGGCATCACATTTCATGTTTGTTTTGCGCAGACTCCACCGTTTCTGTGAATGTGGTACTTGGGAAAATTAACTACGGTAACGTGCCCTCAATATGAATGCTACTGCTCGTTAACTTTAACATACCACGGTTACCATAAAGTTACATGATTGAGTTCGAAAGAAAGCCTTTGAGAATGAGTATAAGAGCAAAGAATGGCATAATAAAATAGAAAGAGCAGTGAATAGCTAAGTGGTTGGAGGTTAGGCGAGCAGAAACCGTAAAAAAGGAAGGAAAATGGTAGTGGTAAATGCGAATGTCACAAATAGATACCCGGACTTGAGCGGTGGAAGTGTGCCGGTGGCTTTCCGTCTCGCCAGATTGCGTTCAGGGCGACCGCAGCTGCTTCCTCCAGGCCTCGACAGGTAGGAACCTTGTTCGGCAAGTCAAGAGAGACTGCGGCTAATCTATGATAGGCAGCGCGTTTGCGTGGTAGAGAGTGTGGAGAGGGAGCACGGTTACCGTCAGTGGTAGTCGTGGCGGGTGGCGAAGGCGGAGACTCAGTTGGATCAGAATCGAAGGAACGAGAGAAATAACGCAAATTGCGAGATTGAGGCAGTGTCGACGGCGACTCTGAGCTGCCAACACCCCATGAGGCTTCCACACTCATTACACGCCGGTTCAGCAAATGTTCTTTCAATATTTTTCGGACCTAATGATAAAGAAGACGCATAATTAGCAAGGAGAAAATGGTATCTGGCGACACTGGAACGAAGTTGGTCACCAAGACCAGGTATCCACAAAATAAGCAATAGTCACTGCAAATGCCTCAGAAGTTATTTCATTCAACGGGGAGAATGCAAGTATCACTGATGAAGCTATTACGAATTACAGGATTTGAGTTGCAGTCCACTTTAACATACAAGCCCTCAGAGAATCGAGTTGACATGACTGAATGAAAGAATCTAGTCGAGCCCTACAATCGACTTGGATGTATCCAGATAAAAAGCAGTTAAATTGTCGGGTTAGCCTCATAAAAAAGGACGAACAAGTTAGAACTGAGGGGAGGCACGGCCGCACCGTTGCCACATGATTCGCTGTTTAAAAATCACTAATTATTAATGCGTTGTGGAACGTCAAGCCGAGGAGAGGGACGCAACACCGTAATGCGGGCAACCATTCAAAAACCCTAGCCGGCACTTACTCCGGAAATAAGGTTGTCGGGGGCAACGATTTGTGAGCACACGTTAGTGCGTGTGTGTGTAGCTATACATGGCAGTGATTATCAAGGGGCGAATTTGTAGCCTTGTCACGTGGAACGGACCTCCCCACAGACACGGAAATTACTTCCAGTAGGTACTAGCAAAACGGATTTGTCACAGGCAAAATTAAGTGCCCCCTTTTCAGACCAAATCCCTACAGCCCCCGGTATTAGAGTGACAGCGTTAAGAAACGATGCAGGTGTGGAGCGAAAATGCAAACATGCGACATGTAGAGCAACAAACCACAGGAGGAAACATCACATAAGAAACACTTGACAGGGAGCACAACCTACCTGCTGGGAACTCATCTTTTTTGGCGAGCCTTTAGGAATGGGGTTCGGTGGAGAAGTGGTGGTTGAATAAGAGGAATTCGTGCGTTGTGCTTGGCTTGCAGCCACTCCTGGAGTGTCGTTCTCGAAGGCGTTGGGTGGACTGAGAGAAATGAGACTCTGTTGCGCCGAGTGATCCACGTCATCAACCACCTACAAAGGCCACGAAAAATGACGCATCTTTCGGTAGGTTAATGGACACCAACATTCCGGATGGGTGAGCCATTAGTCGCTGTTTAGAGTGAAAAAAGAAACGACACGTCACTTTAAAAAGCCCAATGCGAAAGCGCATTCCGAAATCTTGGCGCGTTTAATTACACTAGAGAGGAATTCCACTAGCAGGTACGGCAACGAACTACCTACACAAGACAAACACATACAAAAAGCAAACTCATGATGCGCTAGAAGGTCGGTTGGCAGACGATATGCGGGAGCGACTACAATCCACTACACACGCTGCTGCCAAATGGGGTCATAAATTGCACATGGATGAGTCAGTTTTAGCAACCATAACGGCAAAAACAACGACGTGTCGCCTCTCGGGCTGCGACATGCAGGATACAACCTTGAGGTCTGCAAGGTGCACATTCTGGGATTGATGACTGATGGCTCTTTAGAGGACGTGCTCTTTAGTCCGTAATTAATAAAACGGCCCAATAAATGCCAATTTATCAGATGTAGACGGCTACTCGAGGCTACTATCAGTTTGACAATAATTGTTTTAGGCTATTTCGTGTGTCTTTGTTGGGGATCCACGATACCCTAAGATTGCTCATCGTTGGTTTCTGGCACTATCTACACTAATTAACTAACATGTGTTTTATTACGCTTTTTATCAGGCCAAGGTCAACCCTGACATGAATTAGTGTTCACTTTTGACAACTCACCACCCACACGTGGCTGACGTGATTAAATCTACACGAGCTCTGGTCTTGTCCTTGTATTAGCGTGAGGAGGCCGGTGATAGCGTCAACAAGGGATCTGGTACCGTTGTTTGAGTGATTTTCTCGTTGTTACGGCCAAACGTAACAGTCATTAACAAGGGCAATAATACTAACGGTTGCATATTACTGTTAGAGGAGCACGACCCTTCGGAATAAAAAAAACTTATGCGATTATTTACGAAAGGCTGCTGAAGTCCTTTGATGAACACGTTTTGAGGTCTTCTGTGTTCTCTTGAATCCTGTCTACCTAGCAGAATCCGCTTATCTGGATGCATTCGGCAGTAAATTTCACGCAATGAGGCACCAACTCAGCCGGCCTACCGTGGAATCCTAGTGAGTGAACTTCACAAGTACGAAACTCTCCCACATCAAATTATGCTGGACAAGTTGAGGTCCTATTACTACTCGGAATAGCAAGACAAACGCACAGAGCACCGATAGATAAAAGTAGAGTCAAAATAAATTGTCAAGTTGCATCGTTTGCACACAACGGCCTAGAGGTTTGAGTTGAACATGGCAGGGGGTTTATTAACAAAACCAAAAAGCACAAAAATTTGTATGGCAGGTATTTGCCATGGTTCGCAGACGCCCTCTGTCCAATTATAAATGTGTCACCTGCAGGTCGTTAATCGAGTTACCCTGCATGGCCGGTGTGCATACCAACGTTGGTAAGTGGATGGCCTCATCCAATCGAAGATATGTGTTAGCGCACACACTAACCGCTTGTGCACACGCACGTTGTGTGTGTGTGTGTGTGTGTGTGTGCGTACAAGCATGCTAAATTTAGATTAGCCTGAATTGTTGGTCCTTCACAGGCTACAACACAGGTGTGCAATCACACTCAGTGTACTTAAAACACTTTCAGATCTTCTCCTCTTTTGATAGGTTTCACGAAACGGTCTACATCTTGTTAGGTTGGATGGTGACAATTAGGCGCTAGTACTGGAGATCTGGCTACCCATTGGTTGCAGCATCTAAAGCATCTTTAATAAAAGTTCCAGGGCTCAACTTCTTGAGGCTACTTGAAATCCAGTAGCATAGGTTGCTTTTTAAATGTCATACTTTCCGAAACAAGTTAATATCCTAACAACTCAAATAATTTGTGTCTACACGAACCAACCCAGTTCAAGGATACATTAAGCTCAATTATGCTCACACCAAATTAAGCACTCACGCACAGCTGGACTAAAAATAAACCCTTGCAAAGGTTTCCCCATACGTTTACATAGATTTGGAGAGTAGCAGAATGGACTCGGAATACTGACAAACGCTTTCTTTCTAAAGTCCCACTATGTGACATTTAGGAAGAAAAAGAAAGGGAGGAGGAGATAGTATAATACTTCGGAAGCCCTGACCCTCAAAGGAATCCTAGATCCCGTACGAGTTTCTCAGTACCCAGCGTCATTTAGTGGACTAGCACAACGAACGATTAAATTGATGCACGCGTAAAATTGGAGGTGCAAGAAAACAGATTATGTAAGCCATACTTATTACGTTTCAATGCAAGTAAAAGAAGGATGCTGCGCAATAAGGGACCCTTGATAAGGTGGAACGCACGTTTTTTCCAATAATATTTCAGGTTTGGTTACAAGACCAAATTGTGGTACCGGGAAAAAAACTCTTGAGGCACCAAAATTCTCTGAAAACTGAAGATTTGATCCAAGTCAGGTGACTTAGTACACTGAAATTTGTGCATCAAAACCTGGCTTTCAAAAAATGAAACCTCTGAGTCTTTACATCATACAACAAATGACGACGTGCCGGTTAACCCAAACCAGTACTTACGGAAAAAGCAAGAGCACCTATAGCAGGTTTATCAATATTTATTGGTAGGGAAACGGAGGTCATAGCTAATTCAGAGATTTATACAACGGGAAACAGCATGAAATTTCAAATTTACTGGCGTTTCAGAGAAAAAACGGCGAAAAAAATTATTTCACGTAATTTGCTCCGTTAACTAGAGTCAGTGACTTACAAGTGAAGTTGCTGGTGAGGTTTCCTTTACATCTGGACCAGTAACACTGCCAATGTCGAACGAAGCCTGCCTTGAAAGAGCAAAACGTCCACGCATGTTACCACGGCGGGAACCACTATCGGTCATTGGAAGGCTACACGGTTGAACACCACATCGAGGAGGTCCACAACGCTTCCGGAATTCGCCTCTACTACTGGCTATTGACGGTGCGCCATTATCGTCCATATTTTGTGTTCTAGAAATTAGATACGCATAAAAACAAATTCTAGATGTTTATTTGCTTGCGAGAAGAAACATGTGCGGTTTACACCGTGTTGACAACTTGGTTTATATAGAGGATAAAAACGTCTAACCAGTGATAAGGAGTGCAGTTTACTAAGAAAAATAGCAAAATTACACATTTACGGCTTTAGGGCTGATAAATACTGAAAGGTGACAGTTCAGATAACGCCAAGCATGTTGCGCGAGTTAAAAGAAGGACAAAAATGGTAGCATTACAGGTATACCCATTCTAAATACATGTATATTTCAGTATTCCCGAAATCGTCACTACATGTTACTCGGCAGAGCTTGGGTAAAGACTAAAAACCTTTACTGCAGCGTATTTTTGTGACAAGGCACAGGCCGGAAGGTGTAATAAGGATGACTCTAACTCAAATCTACAAATTCATGGCAGACAAATGTGCTTCTCAAACGCATTAATACAGTTGCAAGATTGAGCCAGCTAAGGTACATGTAGTTCGCATGACTCATAAAAAATATGCCCTAGCATAAAAATCAATGTTCAGAGCAGGAACCTAAGAACAAAATTGCTTAAATTCTTTTGACAGGTGGCTCAAGCAGTAGGTTAAGCAGGCGAAAATCTGGACCAGTTTGGTTAGAGATAAACCACACTAAGGTGGCGAGCTTACGGTAGCTTGGATGCAGGCGGAGAGACTTCGAGCGCACAAGTTCCAAACATCGCTAACAAATCAAGGAAAAGCGGTCGCAAACAGACATGGGTATCAGTTGAGAAGCCATTTCAGCTAACGAGTGAATTTCAACTTGGGCAATACTTTATGGATACTTCATACATTTCAAAAACCAACTGGAGGTAACTCTTACGAGTGAAATCATATAATTATAATAATAAAGGTGCGACTGTTATGACAGGAGTGCCCAAGTTCGACAGAAAAGCTGTTTACAAGAGCACTACACCATTCACAAAAGTGAATATAGTTCTCATAATAGCAAACGCAATTTGTGAAAATATGCCATCAGTAAATTAGTAGAGAGCTTAATCAAGCATCACAAATGGGGATCTACTGTTTTTTAACAACGACGGCCGGCCATACATAATCCATCACAGCAATAAAAAATTTAAGCAAGGTGGAATTTCACTAACCGAAAGTAGATGACTGTTTTAAATTAATTTAGACCGCTGTCAACGGAAAGGCATCTAGGTGAGTATGACGTCCGTGGGCCGAAACAGAAATTTTGATGGAGTTAAATCAAAGACCAGCCTTCCGATTGGCTAGTTCAGTATATCGGATTTATTTAAAAGCATTGACAGCTCCTTCCGAAATGGCATCTAATTTTGAGGATTTCACAAGGCGTTAAAATCCTCAAAATAAGATGTGTAAAAAGAGTATGTGATCATGCTCATTATGGTTTTGGCGAAAACTTCATGACCCGGTGTTTCAATTTGTTGTAACTTTACGCCTGCTTGCTGCTATTCATATATAAAATATACTAATGTATTGACATACAAGACATTAAAGCATTCATATAAACAGAATGGACTCAAAGTTACAGCCTCTGGCACTCACCAATACCTTGTGGACGTTGTTTTTGATCGTTTACACAAAATCCACGAAAATTAATGTTTTAGCATTTTATGTGCAGATTTTTTGCATTTTTTTAAAAATACAAATGCAGGGACTAACCCTCTGTATATGAAACAAGCAATACACTTCAAAGAATATTCCTCTAATTTAAAAGGGTCTAATAGAAAATTTCGACCGCTCCCAAAGACAAATTAAACAGACTACATAGCTTAATCCTTACACAGATACTTAGTAACTGATTAGTTTGAAGTCTTATTGAGTATTTAAATTAACATCAGTGCATATAACAATTCTTGTAAAAAACCTCTGGAGTATTATCATACATTGCAATCAGGGGTTATTAAGTGCATATCTGAGAAAGAACTGCTCACATTTAAATTTACTCAAGTGTCATTTTAGTACAACATTGTCATAAGTTTTTTGGGGTGTATGGACAACATCCACGAATGAGAATAACTTTTTGTTCTAAAAACTACTTTAATTTCGTGCAAATGCTATGTGACAATTCAGATGTCATCATTGTTTATGAAACCTGCTGAACAGGGACCAGAATGGGAGGTTACTGCAAGTCTGTCCTTCAAGGATAGTCAAACTTTCAGGGGTCGACAGTCGGAGATGAGGCAGAAGAGGGAGAGATGGGACCCAGTAAATTCTATACCAAGTGACGAGAGAATGAGGAGAAGATTAGTGCCCAAACAGTGACATTGTGGTCATATGATAAATTGAGGTTGATTCTCAAGCACATATGTGCGAACTGAGGCAATGGGAAATGGGTTAAGGAAAGCGGGATGACAGGAAGTTACCAGAGGACAAAAGACATGCCAGTATGGCTTGTGGTGACCGAATGGCGGGTTACAGTAAGACAAACTAAAAAACGTGCTTTTAATTATAGGTTTCATAATTTAGCCTTAAGACCAATAAACACCTGATAGATTTTTTAATTCTTCTAAAATAAGTGGTGTCAAAAAAATATTTGGTTTTAAATAAAGGAGTGAAGAAAGTACATCTGGCAAATAACAATTAGTAACAACTTAATTAAAGAATTTTATGGCAAACAAAGGTAAATTGATTCAAAAAATTAACAAAATTTAAATGGTTGACCAAATAATATAAATTAAGTCGTTGTTTTCCGTGTCAGAGATGTCAGGGTACATTTTTAAAATTTTTTACAGAATAAATGACTCAGAATGCCGACGCTGTTGGTTTTATGGAGCCAAAATGCTTGAAACCTTTTCCTCCCACAATTAGCGATATCGCCGCTGATCTAGCATCGAACAGCTCACTTCAAAACTGCGCACAATTATTGGTAATTTAAGGCTTCGATAAACGAAACGTTTCGCTTTTATTTTCGAATTTTCAAGATTTTTCATCCCGTTGAGTTAAAGAAGATCAAGTCAGAGTTCACAAATAATGAAACCCAGAGCAAAGTACTCTCCTTGGTTTGTCCATTTTCAACTACGCATCACCTCACGCTCCACATTGTGATTTTTCCAAGTGTATTTCTCTTCAGCTATACTTTGTTCGCTTAAAATACAGTGATGATTCTTTCAGTAAGCTACATTGTTTAATTTTAGTATTTTGAATTCGTTTGTCCTACAAGCATTTCAGACAATTCAGTGCACTTCCTGCAATGACTGCACCTCGCTTGCTAGCGGCCCCAACCGTCTCTATATCAAAACCTGCAAATCTTCCACTCCTTCACTGCAGAATACTACTTGACAACTCACTAAGCTCACTTTCTATCAAAAGTGACCTTGTTGGAAATGACTCCGACCACGCACGCACTGCCTATCCAGGGCGAAACGGTACTCCCCACGAGCCATGTAACACGAGCTACGTCCCAAAAGCCCTGTTTTCATTGAGAATGAGTCCCCCTCCCACTACTTATTTCATAGGAGTACTGCCATTTCAGATTATTTTTGTGCCAGACTTCACCTTGTCTTATAGCACCAGACCTCTGGTGCTTTAACTTCATGTCTCAAGTGCAATTTTAAAATTTTCCACGAAGACCCAGAACAGCACTTCACAGATATGAAGGCAGTTGGAAAAACACTGACAGCCACAATATCATCTGTTTCTTCGTCTATACTACAAATATCCACTTTAAAAGTAGAAAAAGGGGCATATCAGGAATTTGTGCACGAAATACTACTGCGAACGCAATCATTGCATGAACTCGTCCCACCGCTTTATTCGCAAGGGTGGCAGTTCATTTTCTTCATAAAGCTGCATCAGATCGGTGACCTTGGCACATCCAATCGAAGTGTAATTTGAGTTTGATAACTGTGAAATTGGGATGGCCGGTGAATTCGGCACGACCGGTGCCTTGTAACGCCGCAAATAATCGAGCATTTGCACCGCTTCTGGGCTGCCACGCGAAGCGATAAATTTGAGGGATGACGACAGTTGACTCAGAAAAGAAGCGTGTTCCGCTTTGGCCGAAAGTGAATAAATGTTACTAGAAAGAAGCAATAAGGCAACAAATGTAAACCATCGGTAAAGAATGACGGGACTGATCACACGACCTAGACACCCACCAGTCCTCTTCCCCTATCTAAGACGATAAAGCGCGTAGGAACTATCAAACCTTAAAGACAACTTTAGCGCTGACTGATTCTGTCCGGCTGCTAATATAACTGTAATGAATTGCGTTTTAATGCCCGATCATGCATCTCGGTAATTCGGCCCTTTCAATCGTCTGCGACTTATGAGTTTGCACGACTTCACTAACACAACAGCACACGTGCAACGATCTTTTGCAAACCAAAAATGCAAAGCGCCTCAAGTTATCGTGGACAATAAGGAAAATAAGAAGTGCCATGTAGTAGGCGATTAACGCGTTTACAACGGACTTCGCAAACGAAAAGCAGATTATATTAGTGGTGCAAATGCTTAGGACACCGTTTTAACCGCAAGATTCTCTGCATTCGAGCATTACAAATGGGTCAACTACTGAGTACGCGATACATACTTGTGACTGGTGTTTCGTAATAACAGAAACATTAAAAAGCCACCAAAAAGGGTGCGTGTGTTTGCAAATAACGTGAAAAATCGGCGACAAACGAGCACCTGTCGATCGCCCTGCTCGCTTGGGTTCATACCACAATCAAAGTATCCGCAAATTAGGGCGCATGCACTATCGAAACGAACCGATTAAGGTGGTGAATGGCTATTAGCGCGAGAATCGGCTGCCGGCAGGGCTGTATGAGACCGGAGCAGAGGGCACTGGCGTAGGACCTGAGGACTCCCTCGTCACCTTCAACGGGTTCGAACAGGCCTTTGTAGGAGGCCGCAGACAAAATATACTAAAATTGGAAGACAATTAGCGTATCTACTAGTTGGTAAGTCTAGGGTTACAACGGCACTCCACAACAATTATGTAAGAGTTAGTATAAATATTTCTTTATCAGTTTAAGCTTTTCGCTTTTAATTCATGTGCTCTCTCATTTAGGAATGTCCGACGGATGCGAACAAGCAAGGGGAGCCTGAAATTATAAATACGAACTCACTTTTGTATTGTCGGGTAGTACTGGCTAAATCGTGTAAGCTAAACACAATCGTCGGAGCTGAATGCTCTAAAATAACAGAGTGCTCCACATACCTCCCTGGGTGAAATCACCAGGGCCCGGAGTGCGGTTTGGTGCTCGCCCCAAAGTGCGCGTCGATAGTTTGCCGGTAGGGATGAAGTTTGCAGGAAGAGAAGCAGAATGTTGGAGAAAATTGGCGCCGAGTATGACACCCCCGCGAAATGCTCCACTAGTTCAATGAACCTAACGGAAAGTTGTGCAGATGGAACTAATTGTGGATGGAGGAATGTCGGTGAATCATATCTACTTACAGGTCGTAGAAGGAGAGCATATCAAGTGGAAGGTACGTCTCTGGTCTTTGATCCAAATCACTGAGATCGACGAAAGGGACAAGGAGGCCCAGTAAATCGCCGATCACCGCTCCACTGGTGTTGAAACAGAGGGCTCCGGCGTTGTGGCAGGCCAAGATGGCACAGCATATTCGAGTGAAGTGAGCTCCCGCAGAAAGGCAACCCACTTTGGGATGGCGACTTGGTGGAAAGTATTTTAGCAGACCTCGAATCCACCCAAGGCACGCTGTCGCCTTTACAGGGTAGGTCTAGAAGTTACAAAAACGGTGACGATTCATGTTTAAAAAAATGGCCAAAGATCGCCACGTTCCTCAAGCATTACGAGGCCCCTTGCAGTGAGTCGTGTTAATTCATCTCCACAACGTCTAGCGACATGTGTTTTTTCCCTTTGTTCACCTCGCCCCAGGGTAATCACTGCTTGGTCTGGCACGTGCGTGCAGTTCTCCCCTCCGTCCGCATCTGCAAGACATCCAGCTCCCCCACCACCCACTCTGCCATCCACACCCCTCTCCATATGTCAGTGACTGCAACCACCAACAGGCATTACCCGTCCCCCTGCGCACGTATGTGAGTAATAGAGCGAACTCGACACCACACAACGCACACACACAGACAACGTGTTTGGGATATCTACTTAAACGATCGCGAGCTGGTGATCCCACTGTG